TGAAGCCCAGTGATCTGTTGCACAATTCCTACCTACAATGAGTTACTCCTGAGTTTATCAGAAGGACAGTATCATCTCTCAGTGATGAATGAGAAGCAAAGAAGAAAGAGGAGGTCTATATTAAGTACTTGTAAGAATTTTATCCTTCAAATGAACTTACTGTTGCATGCAACACTACAGTTCAGAAGGTTAGCAGTATTTCTCACCAACAATACACCAGAAAATGCATTACAAAGTAAATGGACAAGCAACCCAAGAAACTATCAGTGTAATTTCCATTATGCTCTGGAATCAGAAGAAAATGTATTAAACTTTTAAATATCAGGTATCAATTTTTAGAAGGAATATATATTGTGTATCACTAACAACCTGAGCTCACAGAAGGGCTTATCCACATGCTTATTTACACACAACCCAAAAGTCTGACAAAAATGTATCTTCTAATGCTTCCATGGTACATTATTCTGTATATTAATCACATTGATTGCATTATGACTTTATGTCTAATTTATCTCTAATTTTAGCAAAATGTCAACAGAAATTGCTGAAAATCTTCAAGAATTTTCTCCCATACCTATGCAGATTTATGGACCTTGTAATTCATAGCCCTTAGTCTCACAGACTGGGACACATCACTATCAGACTGTAAACTCTATGTTACCATATGGATGGAGATGCTGCTGCAGTGGTTGCTTAACTCTGGGGTCCAACAGCATATGATTACGTTCACTTGTGATTGGCTGCCCCTGTTGCAGGACCGGCACTGACAGCAACTGGAAGGTATTAACAACATGTACTTAAGTGCTGAAAGAACACAGATGAGACACAGCTCTCCTCATTCCTGGTAAAATAAGGAAATTCCACAGTCAAGTTAGCTGAGTACTTGTCTGAGATCAGACAGTAGTGGAAGAAGGCCTGTTTGAAACTGAAGCAGTGCTCGTGGCAGGGAGAAACACTAGAAATAACTTGTGAAGTCAAAAGTGAAAAAGCCAAACTACATTCGCAGCTTAGGTTGTAACTCTGCAGGCAATGACTTGATTTCAAGAATAGGCATTTGTTACCACCCAGTTGGTTAAGAATCAGGAAATTTGCCCTAGGACAGCAACTATTGACCTCTCAGGCTACCCCAAGGTTATCGTTCCTGTCCTCTACACACAACACTGGCTCTCCAAAGAATAACGCATACATTGTAAGATTCAGGTCTTTTCCTCACAAAGTATTTAACTGCCCAGGACATCCAAGAAACTGCCTCACATTCCAGAATTGTAACCCTAGTGTTTAGCCACTAAAGAAGAGATCATAACCAGGACAAAACTAACTCATGTCAGAGGCTGAGCTTTCTCAGAGACTAACTCAAGAAGGATGAACTAAGACCTGTTTACTTTTGAAGGTTAATTCCAATTGACCTAGGATCTGAATTGGTAGCAAAATCCCCAAAGTTCATTCCACCTCACTTTGGCCACTGCACTATTTACCCAGGCTCCCTATATAGACAGTAGCAAAAGATTATCTTCAGAGCGTGCTGCAGGTTGCAGGAGAGTTGGGTCATCTCCATGAGATGCCAGAGACCAGGCTCTTTAAAGCAGCACATGCCACTTTGATAATTGCCTTGCTGAGCTGGCCTGCCCCTCAGTGGCTTTAACTAAATGGGGTGAACGGGTGCACATAGCTACGACCTCAGGTCATACACTAAGACAAGTGGCATGAGGCATGACACAGTTACTGCAGCTGTACAGAGCCATGAATCTATCCCAATTTTATCAGCAGCTGCTTGCTGCTTTAGGAGCTGCTGAACTAGCTGCAGCTGCAAGTTTCTAGATGATCATGGCCATGTGATTCTTCAGTAGTATGGGCAACTGTATACTGGTGTTCTCCCTGCAGTGAACTTCAGGTTTCTCTCTAAGCAAATGCTGTGTGTTATTCTGCAGTCCTACAGCCACTGCCTGTCTTCCTGGGTCAGAAGCACAATCCCCTCTTATCAGCCCAGGGATGAAACTACATAGGTACATATATCCTTTGGAGAATAGTCCATTGGCTGCTATAGATGCAAAGACTTCCAGTGATGCAAAAGCCAAGTATGTTTTTGACTATGTTCATTACCTACCAGCCAGCATGAAGCAAGTAAAATGGACTCTTCCATTTGAAGTAAACCACTCGCATAGAAAAGACTGTCCAGACATGAAATTATCCTGGATTCTTTTTTTTTTTAATAATTACTCAATGTAAGCTTTATATATAAGCTTTTATATATAAGCTTTTAAGATATTCAGAAATTATTCCCTCCCCCCACCCCAAGTTACTTTCTGTTTTGTCTGCCAAACGTATATAGCAGACCACAGTGAAAACATCAAAATAAAGAGTCACATATGCACATAAAAGTCTTCCTCCCGGCAGAAGAAAACCATAGAATAGAGAACAAATGCACTCTGTGTGATTAGCCAACTGCATCGAGTCACCTCTGTAAGATGACGAGATACTACGGTTATGGGAATAGAACAAAAATCTTTATTGACTAGGGTTTCCACAGATTGTTAAGATCTTTAAGGAGCATGTTAAGTGTAACAAGAGCATAATAGGGGACAGTATAACAAGGAGGTGGCTCATCAAAGGAGACATTGGTAAGTGCCTGCCCCTTCGTGATTCCTAGCCTCTTAGAGCTCCCTGCTACTAACTACTGTTCTCTTCTTAGAGGCAACTCTTTCTCATGCCACCTTTCTCTTTCTGTTTGCTCTTCTATGTCTGTGGAAGGAAGAAGGAAAACAGTGGGCCTGCTGCAGACAACATTGTCCATACATCATCTTCAGAGAAAGACGGAGGATCAGGAACTGTTAGGATGAAAATACCTATGGCAGCTCTTTTCCATGGTAATCACCCAAGTGTAGCTCTTCCCTCCCTGTCTTCCAAGCTGGCTCCTTGTAAGTTACTCTTTAGTAAAATGTGCTACAATGTTCTACTGCCCAATCCTCATTAATCTTACACATTGCCCTAGTACAACAGAGAGAGAGTAAGCTGTTGTTGAGATAACTGGCTTCCATTAGCAACCATGTGATTGGCAGGACGATAAGTCTTTTCCCTTGCAGGTCAGCTGCTTTTTTAAGAAGAGGGCAATCCTGCTGATCCATCTTTTAGCTACAGTCTCTCACTGAGTCCCAAATCTCCTGCCTTTTAGCTTTGATACGGTTCAAGCTTTCCCCCTTGTATCAGCCCCTACCTGTCATCAGCTCCTCTGTACCAAACAGCCAATATCAGGAGTTTGACCTCAGGGCACAGTCCGGGTGGGCAGGTAAAACCTGACCACTGGACCTACTTCCTTATCTTTCATATCCTGCAATTCATGAAGAAGTATCAAATTCAAACTAAAAACCAGAAGGATGACCTTTTATAAGAACTTTCTGAAAAAGGCTCTGTTGCCTTTCTAAGTATTCTTGAAAAGAACTGTCATCCACCCTATTAAGATAGAAATGGATCACAAATAAGGAAGAGGAGGAAAACACTGCAGTTGTTTTTAATGTGTACTTGCAATACCTTTTGGTAAGGCATGCAAAAATATAGTAAAAAAACAAACCAAAACAAATATACTAGAACTATTCCACATCTACAAGCTCAAACTGCAACCTAATAAAGAGAATTAGACAGACTTTTGCTGTTCATGAAGTATCTGAAATGGATTAGATTCCCATGGCATACACAGCATCCTCTATAAAGTGTTACCTTGCATCAAGAGAATTCTAAATATAAGTTGCTAACATAAACCGAGAGCTATCATAAGCAACATAATCCCTATAAATGTGACATGCTCAACAGCTGGTGTTTAAAACATACAAAAATATTATTTATTTCCTGTAGCAAGTATGTACACACCCTGCCCTCCTGCATAGCTGGAAATCACATTTTCCCTTGAAACAAACAGGCTCTGCAAGGATTTATGCCACTTATGTGGATGACAGAAACAGTGCCAAAATCTCTCAACATCCTTTCCCTTCAACTAAACTGACTTAGTACTAAATGGAAGATGTTTAGTCACTTCTAGCATTGATAACAAAAGAAGAATAAAAAAGAATCCAAAAGAGGAAGGCTGCTAGTCAAGGCAAGACTTGTGGTATTTGAAGTCTGGCAGAGCACGTCTTTACACTTTGAATGCTGGAAATCCTAATGTACACGTACCACATGAACAAATCTTCTGACCGTGATCCTATATCCTCCTCACATAGTCCACACTTATCCCATTGTTGATATTGCTCATCATTATATTACTGTGCGAATGTGACACATAACTCTACCTTTTAAATTCTTCATTTAAAAAGACACTTTAATGAAGTCCTAACTATTGGAAGAAAATGGAATACTTTTGCCTCAAGAATTTTCACTTCTGAAATGCATTTTCATTATCTCACTGTGAAAAACCTACTAAACTATTAAAAGCAAAAATATTCTTACTACATAGATAATTTGGTATGGAATTCTTTCTACATTTCTTTTCTGATGACTTTGACAGGCTCATAATGGTGTTGACAAATACCACCAACATCTGCAGAAAGCTAAAGATCCTCCATGTGCAGTTAATGATTCATTTTACTATTTAAATAACACTTATACTTGCAATTCTGTGAAATAACAAATTCTTTCTAAAAGCTTGCTTCAAGTATGAAAAGTCTTTTGAAAATTAATTGCTATGGGTGGATATAGTGTTAGAATTTACAGAGAGCAGGGAATACAAATAACTATATGCAATGAAGATAAGTAAATTTTAGCCTGGAAAAACCTTCATTTTGGCAAGAACTGTGGAAAAGTGCTTCCAATATTAAGGCATTTAAAATTAAATTTGATACATAATAAAGATCAGCTAGTTGGAATAAAGCTGCTTTCTAACAGTTTAAAAGAATTCTATGTAACAAATTAAGGAAAGGAAATGGTAAATAATACCATGCCTGATTCTGCTCTCCAGGGAGCAGTTTTGTAGACAAGAGCAATTGCCAGAGTGGAATCAGGCCAGCACATACCAGGGTAACATGTACACTCTTGCAAAAAGGCGTCCCAGGACCTTTACAACATCGTCAGGATCAAAACGGAACCTTCTCCCCAGGTACCAGCACCACCAGTAGCACAGTGCCCCCTAACCTCACACGGGAGAAACGGGTTGATGCTGAATTACAGGGAATAGTGCCACTAACAACACTTCAAATAACTGCTTTTCAAAACTAATTACATGGGAATGCAAAAACATGAAAGGTTCCTGAATTTAATAACTTCAGCACTGGTCAAAAGGGGAAATTAGTAGGATAAAAAACAACAACTAGTGTCTTACTTGTCTGAGGTCGATGAAAGCTAACTGCAGGGTGTCTCCCTGGAATCCTGGCACAGGCTCAGAACTAGCAAACACTGCAAAGAAAGGTTAAAAATATTATGGATGTAGACTGTTTTCTAAAATTAACAGAAAATCAGGCTCTATGCAACATAAATGGTAGCTAGCATTAAAATGAAATTAGTTTGCTAGAAAGACTAAACTAATGACTCAGAGTGATTAAAACCAACCAAATGTACAACTTTCCCATCATTTTTCCAGTAATCCCAAAGAATAATACCTTTACAAGTATTGTTAGGAATTTTGCTTAAAATTCTAACCCAGCAGTAACGCTACAACCACAGAAACCAAAATCTTTTTTTGGCCTGAGGCGAATAATAACTGAAGAATTTCTAAATAATACCAATTCTATGGCTGTCAACATATTTTGAAACATCTGTTTTCGTTGCAGCATCCACACTATAAAAACCCCACCTCTAGCCAAACAGCAATAAAAGACAAACACTAAGGTGGGAGTTAGTTTAATGTGTAGACAACAGGTGGAAAGCTCTATGTGCCGCAGTCAGAGCAGAGTTGAAACCTTTTAGCCAGCTTATCAATAATGAACTCCTGCTCTTTTTGAACCCCAAAAGAGGCTGTCAAAATTGGAAGGCAAAACTATATTAAAAATACACAAAAAAAGTTAACATTTATGGTAATGAAAAAATGTCAGCTACCTGTTTAAATTAGGAAATGATCAATCATAAAAACAGACTTTTTGATGTTCTTCTCCCAGTTACATGTTAATAACAAAGACACTTGCAGAAACATCCATTGCCTCACATCCCCACTGAAATTAGACATCTTATTTCAAAAGAGCTTAAGAGAATTCTTCTTCTGCTCTTCAGTTAGGGCTCTTAACAAAATAGATATTACTGTAATGGTGTCAGACAGGTACAATCTGAGGCAGTGAAAGATAACATATTTTTCCAAGTTTCAGAAATAGGTCATTCAATGGTAGAAGAAACAGAACGTATGTATCCAAAAAATTTCCAGATCCAGTGCTCAACTTCACTGTGCCACATGGACTCCTACTAACAATTAAAAGAAATATGAAATTCTTAACAGATTTTTTTTTTTAAAGTCTAGTTAGAAAATTTTGGATCATCAAGTGAAACTAACATCCAGAAAGACACCGGTGTCGAAGCTAACATAATGTTACAATAATGGGCCCAATCACTTACTTCTGAATGTATGGTTTCAGCTTACAGCAGACTAATGAATTCAGACAGACTGTTCACAAGTCCAAAAATTATTATATGGAATGTAACTGTAAATTAAAATACTAAAGATTCTCACTGAAGTGTTACAAGAAGCTACCAAAATACTCTCAGAATATCTAATAATAGCTCAGTTAATAAGATGAATATAGTATCAGAGTAGCAGCTCGCCCTGGTTCTGGCTGGGATAGAGTTAATTTTCCTCTCAGTAGCTGCTGTATTTTGGATTCAGTAGGAGCAGAATGTTAGTAACACAGATGTTTTCAGTTGTTGTTAAGAAATCAAGGACTTTTTCCAGTTTCTGACATTTGGCTAATGAGCAGGTGTACAAGAGCTGGGAGGGAGCACAGCCAGGCAGCAGGCGAAGCTGGCCAGGGGAAATATTCTGTACCATAAGTGTCATGCTCAGTTTATGAATGGAGGGTGGCCAGGGAGCTCTTCTCTTTTCCGTGAGTTCGAATCGTCTCTCATCTGGAAGTTTGAACTTTCCAAGAGTTCAGTCTTTTTTGGAATTTCATGAAATCCGCTAGTTCCGGCTCTGCAATCACATCTCAGGGACTCGCCGCAAATCAGTCATTGGGCAGTGAGAAAACTGTATTGTATATAGTTTGTTTTGCACATTCATTATTATCATTATTATTAGTATTACTACTAGCATTTCCTTCATTGTCTTATTAAACTTCATCTCAACCCACGAGTTTCCCCTTTTGTCCATTCTCCCCTGATCCCGCTGAGGGGGGAAGGGAAGGGGTAACTGAGCGGCTGTTTGGTGTTTAGTTGCCACTTGATGGGTTAAACCATGACACAGCTTTACCAATAGAGGCAGAATTTACTACTTGTATTGCAGTAGTGTAAAAATTTTTATGGACAGTCTTGTAATACGAGAATGAATTAAAATGGAATTTGACTTGATTCTTCACCAACTAAAGGAATAAAAAAATAGTAGCCAAATACCCTAGGGAGAACACTGTAATGTCACAGCCAAGTATTGGTAACAGTTGGAAAATGCTCACCAATTACTGTATTCAAGTCTGAATTTTAAATTGCCTGGTTTCCTACTTCATAAGTAACAACAACTTTCTAGGGGAATTTTCAGGGAGTTTCAATCTACCACAAAGATACTTTTTAAATAAAAAAGAAGAAAGATAAAAAACAGTAGAAAAAGCATATCCTAACCCCAGTATATTACAGAGAGAATTTGTTTTAATAACACACTCTTTAAAAGCAGCAAAGAGTAAACAGTCTGTACAACCACCAACCTGCAGAACAAAAGATCTCCAGGCCTATGAAAGCACACTTCTGAACACCCCAGGCTAAAGGGCTGGGTGTCTCCATGGCTGTCTTCTGCAGGCATTTCATGGCCACTGGGACCATCCTTTCTTCAGGGATGGACAGGCGTATGATGCTGACCCCCGTGGTCAGCCAAACACAGTATTTAAAATGGGAACACCATACTATAGCAGGGCATTCTTAGCCATGCCCTACGGCAAACAGCTAAAGAGAGATACATGGGTTGTGAGCTATGGCAGCACACTAATAAGGAAGGTGAGTGTGATGGTCAGAAGGGGTCTTTTCCACCTCCCCTAAACAAGGAAGGAGAACCTGCACTATTCTTGACAGATAAGGCCCACCTGTATCTGATCCTGTATAACTTTCTGTTCATGCTGAGTACACTGAGACCAGCTTCCCTCACTAGAATCTGAGCTCCTCCAGCCACTCCACAATGGCAGCACTGGCAGAAGGAAGCTCTATGGCAAAAGAACAGCTACAGAACTGAAAAGTGAATGTACCTGAAAACTGTGACCTGCAGCAAAACTTTTCAGTTAGCTGCTGGCAATTTGTACTTTGGGAGTTACCTTCCTATAGTGGGATACTTTTACTTGCCATAGCGCAAATATTTGCGTCGTTTCTGCAACTCATCAGGCTAACATAGTTTGGCATTTATCCTAATACATTAAATAATGCAGTATGATTTAGTTTCTCTATATAGTACCTACTACCATTGCAGCTATAGAACAAGAAGCACACAAGGTACCAAACTTAATTAGTATAAGCTTTGCTCTCTTTAACTACAATTTTATATTATGAATAGATTTACAACACCAGGGACACTCATTATAGCACAAGCATTTATTCTCACATTTGTGTCATTTTTGACAGGTGACTACAGTAGAACTTGTTTCATTATTACAATTTCATGAGTCCAAAGGGCAAAAGGATAATCTACTTAGGGTAACGGTCAGACAGTTCCCCCTCCACCCTCAGCTCAGGGCTTTTAACTTTTGCTAACAATTTCACAAAGCTAATTAAATATTTTCTACTGCACAGCATTTTAGGAAGATATTATAAGAATAGGATTAACATTCTTAATGTCTTTGTCCTAAGGGTCCCTTTCCAGATAGTAATGAAACATTGTCATACGCATATCTTCTAAAATATTCACCCCATACTTTCATTCTAGGCTTAAATAGGATTTAGAGGGGTAGGGGGCTGGTTGGTTAGTTGTTTTAGTGTGCATCAGAGCATTCAGTAATTTTATAATATATGAGAATGAAATGCAAAGACCACCATTAAACTGTCACATATAGTGGCAAACAACTGGCTGGTTGGCAGTTTGAATCAGAAAAGTCAACTTTTTCAGGAAAATAAGCTGAAAATCTGTATTACATGAATCTTGTATTCACAAGGTTTCTGTTAACATTTTCTTTCCCTGCACTTTGCTGATACTGTGTAGACCTTTTCTGTGTATACAGAACAGGCTCTTTGGGACAATGTATGTCCACAGTATGCACAATCTCAACATACAACAATGTACAACATCCAGTTTGGAAATTTACAGGAGGTAGGATCCAATGAAAAAAGTATGTAGTGATACAAAAAGAGGCTGGGACGTAACACATATGCGAGAATGGTAAATTTAAATATTGTAAAGCTGACTCCAGTCCATTTTCTTTTGAATACTTTGATCTTTTCATTACATTTTGAATACAGGATATACATGAATTGATGTGTCTATGTGTTAATCAGTATCCTCAGAAAAAGGCTGTGTCTGCTAAAATGGAATTTAAGACATCTTTAACTGTAAATTGTACTGAATTTTTACTCACTTCTAGATTTATTAGCAGGTCTCTTAATTTTATTCTCTCCAACTCACATCTTTTAGCCATCATCTGGCTGTGCCTCTCTGTTGGTCTGGGAATTCAGTATCTAATTCCTGGCAAACAGTTTTGCCACTCAACGGCAGAAATTAAAACTCAGAGTCCAGACTTTGGATCAAAAGCTAAACTAACACAGTTTTACTCCAGCCGGATAGCATTGATTCACAGGCAGGACAGCAAAGCTGCAAATGCATTTTCAAAGGAAAAGGGGAGAATCAGGCGACTATCGCAGCAGACGCCAGCCACTTTGCAGCCCTGGAAGGATGGTCTCACGTGAGTTTAGTTAACCTGACTTCTCCGATGGGAGAGGAGGCAGGTAAAGCAAGGGGCCTCCAGAGGAGAATATACCGCCTTTTCAAGGATAAACAGGATTTGGGTTCCTTAGCTTCCGGCATGTCCACCTGGAGAGCACCTCTGTGTGTGCTCAACAGAGAGCACTTGGGTCAAGATCCCTCTTGGTCTTGGATACTGCAGCTCTCCACACAGTGGGTGAGAAAGGAGGGACTTGCAGGAAGCCCTACGCAGGGCTGGTTAGGAAGGTATACTGCATCCTGCTTTGCGCTGATTCTCTGCTAACCCATACTCATTTATAGACAGGACCCAAAACCTTTTCTTCCTTGCACAGATCCACCTCTGCATGAAGAGGGATGCCCACTCAACTGTACCTCCTTCTGCCAATTAATCCTGTCTCACAATTCAGCTACGTTAAAACACACAAACTCTAAAAATTACATTTAACTCTTCCAGCAATCAGAATTTCTGACAAGTTCTAATTCCTTAATAAAAAGTTGATGTAAGGTATCTAGATCTGGACGGTGTCTCTGAAAAGCTCATTTTCCATTATGCACACCTTGCTTCTCAGAAAGTGAGATACAGCAACCCACATTTGACTTTCATCTTCAAGAAACAGCAAACGCCTCCTCTCCCCAACGCATTTCCCTCCTCAGGAAATCGAAATGCAATGTCCAAGCAAAAGACTATTCTTTGGGTTTTATTCAATGGGACCTAGTACGTTCTGTTTTTCTGAATACTGTTGTAAGAATTCCAATCACCCTAGTGGAAGATCCCCACTGAGAAACAATTGTGCAAAACACAGATGCAAAACACTGCTCTAAGTTCTACAACACATAGAGAGAGTGGAGAAATACTTCAATTAGAACAGGACAAACTGAAATAAAATTGAAAGCTTTTGGAATATTTGGAAGGAAAACAAAGATCACTTTTTTTTTTTTTTAATAAATCATCACAGAAGACCACCAGATACTACTACTATTCTTGAGCAAAAGTATCAGATACTGCCAGGTTTTCTGCTCTCCTTTTAGAAGTTAGGCATTTTGCATAGAAATGAAGTGCAGGATAATGAAATCCCAGAGTTCACCACAAGATCACCTCCTTCCCCTCCACCTTCCTTTCTTGGAAGTCCACTTATCAGTCCACCTATTTGCTGTGACTAAGAACTTCAGCACTTACTGACTTTAACAGATTGCTGCTAATTAACAGATTGCTGGGTTGTTGGTTGGACTGTTGATTGCTTTTTAATGGAAAAGAAAAAAATCTGACAAGCAATACCATTTTCCTGCTTTTATTTCTATCTCCTCCAGTTTATATTAGAAAGAATAAAAATGCAATCCGGAAGATCAGAGTAAATATCTAGAATACTGCCAAGAATTTAAAAAAATGTATCTTGTAATATTCATAGCTTTCTACACCTCACATAACTTTTTAGTTTAAAATGCATCTGAGTATACTGCACTGTGTCTGTAAGTAAAATGTCAAACCCATATACACAATACAGTAGGAAACTACCCAACAGTTGTGAATTATTCGCACACTCTAAGCACTAATTTAAATGTCACTGTTGTATCCATTAATCCCAAAGTGCCAAAGCATAAAGCTGGGGGAAGGGTGATGAGCAAGAACATAAATCACAGGCATCACAGTGAGGCCTGGAATGTGCCTGTGATGGACCTTATGAATGAATCCACAACAGCAAGGCAGTCTGAGCAAAATCTTGTGTCAAACCCTTATTCCACAGATTATAAGATGTCATTTGTTGCAACATACTATTCTGACAAGCTTCCATAATCGTATTTAAACTTCTCAAAGGTTTTCTGCGCAAAACCAAATTTTTTCTAAGGTGCTCTAAAAGCTTTAAAGAAAGGAAGAATTAAAGTTTATTCTATTTGCATCTGTAGAACCCACACTAGGAAGGTATGCAATGGTGGAAAGAATGCATTTTTCAGTCCAAGTTACTAGTTTTCTGAAACTTTCTCATTTTGGCCCAAAGTTTCCCATGTCATGTCCATGCCATATGCTCAGTATAAAAGCTACATATAACAAAACATGTTGTCTTACAGTTACATTTTAATCTTAAAATAATGAAACATTATTATGTTAGATTAAATAATACTAAGATCTCTTCACTGATTGAAGTTTCCACTGTGCAGTAGCCAAAGACTGTAGAAAGAGCGGTAATAGAAATTAGCATGGTACATATCAGGGCAAAGGCTAAGAAGAAAAAGGTGTGAAAACAACCCAGAGACCAGACGACAGTCGGACTTGTTGGGACTTCTCATTACTTTGCTGTGAACATACTGTTTATACCATGAAAGTCACCTGCAAGGCATGCATTTTATCCCCTGTACTGCTAGAAATCCCCGAGTGAAAACACTGAATTGGTTAATCTATACAAAGTAGTGAAGCACTGTGTCATTCATGGATGATATTTTAAATATTAGAAACAGAGTAATATGGTAGTGGGCAAGCTCTCTTCACTGTTACACTATTTGTTCAGAAGGCAGATGACTGTGTAGTCAGTGCACCAGTTCAGCTTGTCTAGATGAATGATGATGGTGTCAATATTATTAATACTATGGAATTTCTGTTTTTACAACTGGCATCTTTTTTACATCTAAGATCTTTTTTACACCTAGGAAACTACACAAATGCACATACCCATACCCCTACCCACCTACCTGAAAAGAACACTATTAAATTTGCAACATCAAGCTTACTAAAAGTCAAAAAAAAAAAAAAAAGTAAAACCATCATCTGTTTGGCCAACTCATGCAATCATGAGACCAACTTTAATGTCATGATCAGAAATATTTTTTCAGTCGGACCCTGATAATCCTGTCAGTTTGTTCCCTGCACTGAAAGGCCTTAAGGCTGTACAAGGAAGGACTGTCAGAAAGATGCCTGCTCTACCTGTTACAGAGTTTAGCTGGAATGCAACAAGGCAGGAGCAGGAAAAACAATCGTATGGTTAAAATGTCAAAAATTCCCCTTAACTCTGTCCCTGGACTCCCACAAAAACTCTTTGTGATGCTAACCAAATTGCTTGAAATCAAATTTCCAGTTTCCCATAGGTGGTTGCTAATTGAGTAGTCATCAATTTTTTCATGTGTCCAAACTAAAAACCTCAGGATACGACTTGCAGAACTGCTCCATTTTACAGCTGTCACCAAAATAATTGAGATCCATGCTTCAAACACATAAGAGGAAAGGTACTTTGAAAAAACAGAGCATAAGAATCTAAAAATTTGCATTGAAAAAAACCGCTAGTAGGCCTTTTCACTGTATCTCAGTCATCAACTATGAAACCAGATCTAAAACCTATTCATAACACAATGATGTTATGGAAGTAGCTTCTTTCATACAGATTAATAGCTCACCCTCAGCAGTGAAGCTCCATGCAAAACACGAGGAAATTAATCCTGCCTTCAGTGTTGGACTGAACCAGTTTTATAACATAATTCTGATGCCTTATTTTGAACAGTGAGAATAAAACAACATCCGATGTTTACTAAATGTGTACTATTTTTCTGCACAGTAAGGCAGTAGTAATTCTGGGAGGCAGAAACCCTATGTAACAGCACATTTAAAATCATATCATAAGAAATAAACTCAAGAGGGAAAATTTAAAATTTCACAGACATTTGACCTTTTTTTCTCAACTATAAAAGCATAATATTTATGTAGTGGTTTGGGGAAATTTTGTACTAGACTATAGTGTTTTTACTGGATATAGCGATTATGATCCCATTAGGAGTAGCAACAGATGTATGTTTCAATCAGATACCTGAGTTTAAAAAAAAATTCCTAGAAATGTTAACATGCTTACTCACAAACACTTTTACAAGAAGCTGTACTGTAATAATTGTTTTTTCAAAGACAAAGCCTTAATAGATTATGGAAAAACATCACTACATGGCTTACATTAAAGAACTTACTTGCAGTGCTAAGACAGATACAGATAGGAATTCTGGAGCATCTACTTACATTCACACTGTATCACATCTAAATTAAACTGCTGAATTGCTCCCATGCTTATTTGTTTTAATTCACTGTCCAGTAGCATCTGCATTAGGGACGTTGAAAGATGCTGGCAGGCTGACATGCAAGCTGTCTGGGCCACCTTCCCCTAGTAGAAAGAGCAACAGGTTTTAAGACAGAAACAAATAATACGTCACTAAAGAACTGCTTATCTGATTTGATTTTAACATACCCTCAAAGCCTTAATGCAGCAGGACTTTAATTAGAAGGAGAAAGATCACACTTGCTGTTATTTGTTTGACCTGTTTCTATTTTTTTGTTTTGCTTTGTTTCTATTAAATTAATCAGGGAACTAAACTAAATATATGTTAAAGCAATTATTGGTACTTCTTCCAGAAATCCAACAGTCTTCATTAATACAAGGACATTTCAAAAATAATAACAACGTAAGCTGACGAAGCATATAAACAGCTTTGTGGATTTTTTTTTTTTCAAACAGATTGAAAACAGGAATGTAATGAAAATCAACATGCTGTATATTTTTAACAATAGTTAGTAAAAAAACCCCAAACTTTATATAAATCAAACCCACTGTTCTCAGTTGGAGCATTTCTCATAACAGCTTGTGCTAATTATTGGCACTTTAATTACTTGAATTCTACATCAAAGCTTGTTGCTAAATTATTTAAAGTATTCATGCTTATCCACAATCTTTTCAGGTGCTTAATACATCAGTGCTGTCAGTAATCAACTACTTACAAAATGAAATGTAGCCCTCTGCTGTACAAAATAGAAATAATTTTCCTATCACAGTCTAGTTAGTAACATTTCTCTTTATGATGTATATGTAATTGAGACAAATCATTTTCCAAACGAGACCAAAACCAAAGCACAAAATCAGACATTAATTTGAGAAATGATTAAAAATTTAGTACAGAAAAATGGAAATGTACGGAAATTCTACCTTAGAATTAAGAGAACCAATTAAGACCAGATACTCAATCAGATGGCACCATTCTATTCACAGCAGTGCAATCTTTTAGAGCAGAGTGATCTTGGCTTTCAAATGCAATTATATGAATCTCTCCAGTTTCATACATTTATTAAACCATGCTTCTCAATCCAGGACTATGTTGCAATACGTACTGAAACAATGGTAACTATCAACACACTTACATGAAAGAAATCATAATTATGTAATACGCCTACTGGAGCACACACGACTATTGTTTTACTTATATCCACCAGATGACATGTATTCTCTAAAGCAATGGTTATCCAGCTATTTACTGCAAAGTCAGGTTGATCAATTCACTCTTGACTCACAGAAACACATACAGGCAATGAACAATGATAGACAGCAGTTCACTGTCTCAAAAATTTTGGAAAGTTCTGCTCCAATGTCTGAAGAAACAGATCTTGCCCTTCATAAGACAACTTGCTCATATAATTGAATTTTCATGTATATATACAACAGAAAGCAAATTTCGCCCTAAATATTTTGTACTTTTAAAAATCCATTCTTTGTTAAAATGTAATTAAAATGCAGACAATACAATGGAAAGCGTTCACTGTCCTCACATGTCACACTGAAACATTAAATGGCTTTTGCTAATACCTCTTTAGCATTAGGACACCTTGAACTGTTAGGAGCTTTATATCTAAAATGAGATATCAGTTTCTTAATTGAAAATCTCAGAAAAGCAAATAACATTTTTGACCAAAACAGATGAACTGACAACTAGGAATGTAAGAAACAATGCAAGAACAGCATGCTTAAAAGTCTCCCAAACCCAATGGTAATTACACTGGGAGACATGCAGCTCTATTCCCCAAGCAGAACAATGTCAATATGAATGGAAAAAAAATAGGAAAAAAAGTGGAAAAGAGAAGGAAAAAAGGAGGTGAGAAGGGGAATCAATGGGCCACAGTTCATTTAATTACAGTGTAGTAGGTTTGAAATACTTAATGGAAATGTCATTTTGATTTAATGGAACAACTAGTGCATCTCTGTTTAACATACTGCTCCATCAAATCAGCTCCATGTCCTATTTATGCTGCCACTATAATGTAATAAAAGTTCAACCAGATTAATAGGTTGTCAAGCAAGATTTTAACATTCAATTTATGTTATATGCAAACAATGTGTTCTCCTTTCTTATTTTAAATAAATGACAATTTTATATTTCTAACAAGCATCTGTAGTTAATTGGTACAATCTGGCAAATATCAATAGTACTGGAGCACCAGATAATGGTTACAATACAGAAATGACATGGTAAAAAGCCACTGGACTTTAAATACGTATCAATACATGTACACTTAATGTTTATTTTTAAATTTCCTAAGATGGAAACATCCTAACATTTAAACTCTTTCCAACTATGTAACTTGAACTACAGGCTTATTGTTCACATGACGTATCAACAAATAATGGAAGTTTACTATCAACCATTTATACTTACTCAGTACAATCACTCGATTTTCTTAAATCTAGAGAAAAAATGAACCTACGTATATCAACAAAAATGCTGAATTTTAACTGAGAGAAATGTGAACTTTACTGTTATCCTCTTCAAAACTCAGTGCTTCCTAGTTCAAAATACATTGGATGTATGATATTCAGAAAAAAATGACATTAAAGTTTGTGTTTGACAAATGAGATCTATTTAAAATCTCTCTCCAAATTTCCACCCTCCACCAATTAATCAATTCCTTGCCATTTATTTCCTAACGCATCTTAAAGAAGAAATTTAAGGATTCATGAACATAACACCACCATGTTTCTTTTCCAGAATTAAACAAATCTCGGTTAGTTTTAAAGCACTCTTAGTGTTTATTATTTGCAAGTTTGGGTGCTTTTATTTACTTTTTTTTAAGGGGGTGGGGGCATAGTTACTGTAGCTAGGAATTAAACACCTATATTCAATAGCATGCAGAGATTCAGCAGGCTTCTCACATTTGCTCCAGTTGCCTTCCATTTGAAGACACCACTATTCTCTTCACTCTGCCTATGCTAATTGCTGTTATCTACAAAACCTATTCTTCCACTCAACCAACGTAAAGTTTAAGAAACAAGGACCCTATTCTATAAGCAAAAACACCTGCTAACAGTGTTAAAGGCAACTGTTTAAACCCTTCAAATTCTGCTGAAATACAAATTTGTAAAAAGAGAAAACCCTTAGACAAACTTCTTATATTTCAAAAGAGCTCGTAAAGAGAATCTGCTGACATATTAAATCCTTTTTTATAGGACCCAAAAGCTTTTATCCTAAGAACAATTGCAGTAAAGAGACATTTGGCTCCTAGGAAATTCCCTAAGGGTCAGCCATATGCATCCTTCCATGGCACCTTCGTGGTACTGCTAAGACCCATGCTAGCTGCCTCAAAAGCAGCTTTCATCATTCACTATGGTGTCAGTCAATATGATTTATGGACTGCATTCAACAAAGTCAAAGCATATAGAATGAGAAATATGACTACAATCTGCTAATTTGTTTTGTATTGAGCCACTCAGAAGTCAAAGACCTGATGTCAGGCTGAGACCAGCAACACAATTAACTGGCCAGTGACAGATTCATCCATCCTCCCTGCTAGGCAGTGCCAATCAAAGACAGCATGGAGCAGCATTTGGAGAAATCGGTCAGAAAACCTATTCTCTAAGTAGTTTGCGGAGACTGTTGAATGACAGTTTTTGAATACAGCTGCAGAAAACCACCACCCCTTCAACCTCACTGCAAGCTGTGAACTTAGGCTTTTGCTGCCAATCACAGAAACAATAAAATAACACAAACTGCTATCCTCAGCATAAAAGAATATAACAAAACTTATCTGTTAAATCGAAGAAGTTAAGCTGAAGAATTATTTTAATAATATGAAATGACCTAATGAAAAACTTTCTGAAAATGCAAAGAAACTAAACATACAGATTATAGCAGTTATAATAACTAAAGCATTCTATTACTTAACATCAGGACTAAAATTCAACTTTTGAACTACTGATAAAACACAAGTATACCAAAAAACCACTAATGACATTTTTAAGAATCAATTTTACTTCCAGTCTCTACCGCAAATTCTACTGAAATAATAAAAATACCTACTTGAAAGCAATTTCTAACTGTTACTTTTCAACAGTTATTCTTTTCCAAAAGGTTGTCCGATACTAACTTTGTACTGACAAAGCACATATCTAGAATAAAACTTCAGGAAATTCTAAACTTAGATTAAAAACACTTACACATGCACCCTCTACCATTTCAAACTAACTGATCTGAAAATAAAAGGTAACATTTTTCTTTAACTGTTCAAAATAAAACCTAACAAATGCAGGTCCTTAATAACAAATTTGATAATACAATTGATTTCCTTAGATTAATGGCTGTATAACGAAATTTTAATTTAACTTTTGATTTTAAGTATCTAGTGGCACTATAAACTGCAATATGAACTTAAAATTGGATGTAAAACACCTGAAAACAGCAATAATCTCAAAAGACTAAATTCTTGTGACTTTATAAATAGAACCATTAAAAACTGCATGACTGTAAAATTATAATCTTTCAAAAGCAATGCAGCCTCTGTGCTCTGCATCTCTGAAATTCTGCTACTGCTTGGTGATGACATAACTAGCACACTGACATATATGAAACATTAACAGAAAACATTTCTACACAAAACATTCAATATTCCTAGTGCTCACGACACCTGTTAGCTTGACAGTTCAACATGAGGCTGAGCAATCAAATCATAGAAATATTCATTGGAACTAGTCCAGCCTCCTATGTGGAGTAGGACCACTGCCAACAATAGTTCAAGTCCGTTGTCCCTTTTTCTGGCTAAGCCTTCAAAACAACCGAGGATGGGAATTCAACAGTCTCTCTGGGTAACCTCCTCCCATACTGCACTACTCTCTTCATGCAGACTTCTTCCCTAATGTCAAAGCTTCATCTCCCAAGCTTCTACTTGTGACTATAGCCACATGTGAATTTGTCAGTCCTACGAAGAAGAGTGTGGCTCCATTACCTTTGTATCTGTCATAAAAATCATAGGATGGTTTGGGTTGCAGAGGAGCTTAAAGACCATCTAGTTCCAACCCCCCTGCAATGGGCAGGGACACCTTCCACTAGACCAGGTTGCTCAAAGCCCCATCCAGCCTGGGCTTGAACACTTCCAGGGAGGGGGCATCCACACCTTCTCTGGGCAACCTGTTCCAGTGCCTCCTCACCACCCTCACAGTAAACAATTTCTTCCTTATATCTAATCTAAATCTACTCTCTTTCAGTTTAAAGCCATTCCCCCTTGTCCTATCCCTACATGCCCCTTTAAAAAGTCCCTCTCCAGCTCTCTCATAGTCCCCCTTCAGCTACTGGAGGGCCGCTATAAGGTCTCCCTGCAGCCTTCTCTTCTGCAGGCTGAACAGCCTCCAGCCTTTCCTCACAGGAGAGGTGTTCCAGCTCTCTGATCATCTTTGTGGCTCTCCTCTGGACCCACTCCTTCAAGAGGTTGTAGGCTGCCACTAGATCTCTCCTCAGCTTTCTCTTTCACTGACTAAATAATCCACCTCCCTAAACCTCCATTTGTTAGTCATGTGCTCTAGGCTCCTAACAACTTGTAAGGCCACTGCCATATCCTCTCACCAGATCCACAGAGCTACTACTCAGCCAATTGCTTTCCAGATGGTAGCAATGAATGCAGTTATTCCCACACTGTGTACTCTAAGTGCCTTACACATTTGTTCACTTAAACAGCACAGTGTACGTTTGTTGCTACACACTGCTCAAGTGAACAAGACTTAATCACATTACTAGAGAAAAATGGTAAAAGTAAGTTCAGAGAGTCAGTATTCAGAAGCCATTCTTAAAAGAATAATATTAATTTCAACATTTTCATTATCATGTAAATGCTTATGCCAAATCAAAATAAACTCCTTATACAAAAATTGATAACCTGAAAACAATCAGGGCTTGGAAGAATTCTTACATGTAATCCATCATCACCTTAAAAAAAAAGAAAAATCGAGCACTCACATTCCCTTGACCCTAGGCAGATGTAGCAGACAAACGATGGAACTTTCAGATTCTTTATTCTTTATTGTCATTTATATCACTCTACTCTTATTCTGTATGCATGTCTCAGCTGCATTTTGATACCTGACCTCTCTTCCTAAAGGTCTCATAGTCTCCTCTAAATTACCTCATTTGGCATGCAAGGCACACCTCACCAACCTTCTGCAAGGTTTTTAGGGCTCCTGCTGTCCCAGTGTACGAAAGCCCGAAGTTAGTCATTACCCTGATCCCTGCATGCAACCACCCAAGGTATACAGCAAGGCATCAGCAAAACAGAAGGGTCTTTTTATTAAATGATTAAAAATTGAAGCAATAAGCCTGCAGGCAGTTCATAGTTATTCAGTTCACATGCTTTTTCTTCATCTCGCATCTACTTACCGACATAGCTGCATGGTCATTGTTGTTATTCTGAGAAGGAAACCAGTAAGGCAATCAAAACAAAAAAATTAAGATGTACTGTCAACATCAAAAAAAAAAAAGAAAAAGAATAAAAAATTGGTAGCAATAAAAGCTAAGGAAAAGCTTCCAAAAAGAACAATTACAGCTACATAATTCCTTTTTAAACCTGTGAATTTATATAGTATTTTGTTCAGGCATAACAAAGAGATCATAATTTAAATAATACTAATTTGGCAATAAAACATTTTTTTCTGTAATGAGAAACTGTATGTCAAAATATCAAAGTAGCAAACTTCAAATGATGAAGCATCTGTTGATATGCCTCTCCAAAAAGTTTTCATTATAAGAAACAATATATTCCAAAACACTTTGGTTAAAAAATAAATGCCATGTTTACTGTTTTGGCTTACAGAGGCTATCTGGATGTTACCAACATACTTCATTCAAGCAAGACTCAGAATGGCTCAGGACAGTAAGAATCGAAATGTAATACAACCGATTAATAAATATTAACATAAATCTAATGGTAATACAACTGCAGGGTGGAATAAAGCTATTTTATTTTCCAGAATTGCTCCTTAAGTACAGTAAACAAACACAGAGGAGAAAACTAAGATGCAAAACTTCAGAGACGCAAGACATTTCCAGTGATTCAAGTGGTATCAGACTCTAACTAAGTTGTGCCACAAAGTGTGGAGATTCAGTGAAACTGAGATCATGGTCTATCCAACTTAGATCTCTAATGTTCCCATAAAAATAATACAAATTGCATAAAACAGATATGGAACATAAGAAGTACTTTTAAAAAGTTACGGCTACATTGGTACAGAAATAATTCAGTATAACCCCACATGGAAGCACAAAAGGAGACACACTCTTGTGCATTCACACAGCTTACACATACAGCTAAAATAAAACAAGACTCTAATGACAGGAACTCAAAGACTGCTTTAATGAACTTACCATAACATTTCTACAGGAAGACTAGAGTTTGAAACATTATCAAAGAGAAAGTCAGTGTGACCCTTGAATGAGACTACGGAGAACTAGTGCGGCCAACTCATGCCCCTCGCCCTAGCTCAATGCCCTCTACCATGATTGGATACGCTCAGCCAGGAAGAGAAGAAATTCCTCCACTTGTCCTGCTCATTTCCTCACTAGAATTACAGCCAGTGGCTAGGACTTTTGTTCTTTGATTTCTAATTACAGAAAAGATTCTGAGAAATTATTTTGAGCAATGAAATGTTTCTGCCAGCCATACAAAAATTAATGTGGCAATGACACTGTGACACTAATGAAATAACCCATTAATGAAAACGAATACTACAACTATTTAAAATCTTAACTATAGCATATGTGAATCTAGCTTAGTTTCGCACTCCAAAGCTCTTATTAAAGAGTTATGGAACCTAGTTCTCCACTTATCTTTGAAAATGCTTTTACTATACATTTTCTCTTACTGAAAATAACTTACTGTTACAAATCTAACCAGAACCACCATAATGAAATTGTACACACATTTTCACACAACCTCCACAGCTCATGCACAACAACATTCATAGGACTGTGCATTTCCACAACTGGCCAAGCCACAATAGAGAGTGATACACTGGACAAGTCAAAAATTAAAGAACCCTCTTGCTAGACCAGACTAGTCATCCACATAGTTCTACATCCTGCCTGTTACCAGACCAGAGTTTGAAATTACCAAACAACCTCTTCACGGGAACTAGCTTTCTCCAAAGGTTGACTTGTGCTCCCAGGCACATATTTCTATTCCTTTCACTTTTCAAGTCCAAATGCCACAGCTGCTGCTTTCCATCTCTCAACACATTACTTCATGCTGTCTGTGGCCCATTTCCAAACAGCGATATCGCAACACACACTCATGACAGACTTCTGTACATCCTTCTCTAGAAGTTGCACATCCCTTGACTGCTACATGCATGTGACCATTGAGGAGCAGTACCATTTGTTCACACTGCCTTGTATGTTAAGTTACAATGAATTTAACTATCCAACAAACTTGCTGTTCTTTAACAGAAAACGCTCAACTGATTTGGCACAGAAGCACATGCCTCGCATATCACACTCACATCAATATTATGGGATCCATTTTGAGTGGGTTATGTCTTCGAGTCAGTAAAAAATAAAACGGAGACTGAAGAATCCCAGCTTCTTCACATGTGATCTGGCAGACCAGATAAGCCCACTACACCAGCAACTTCAACGCCTTGCTGTGCATGTAAAGAAACTATCTTTTACTTCCGGTTTGCAGCCTCAAAACATTCTATGCATTGAGGACTTACTCCTTACAGGCATTGCATGTGGGTAAAGCACTCGGACATCATTGCGACAGTAGCAACCGAGGACAAGCTGATGAAAAGCAGATGTAAGTTGAAAGACTTACTGAAGTTACTCCAGACCTATAAAGCTGTAAACTAGTATGATGATAAATCAAACTAGTCTTTTTTGTCTTAAACAAGGGGAAATCAGACAACGGAATGTAACAATTAGTACATAAAACAGGTTAACAGTACCAGACAAAATAACACAGTATATATCTGAATATGTACAAGGATTAATTTTAATAAAGCTCAGTTAACTACAATCAAATTACCTTTTATGATCAAAACTATTTAGGTAAAAACAACCATGGAGAATGTAAGACCTCCATAACCTTATGCAGAAATGCAGGATTTGTGCCAACTCTGCACTGTTTGAATCAATGCATGTGTACACAGAACCAACATGTTTAATTACATAGGCCATCTGAGGCTCTAAAAAACTGCAGGAGTTCTTACACCATTTGTAACTTAGCTGTTGTCAACAATATTACTAAAGTGTGTAAAGTATTTTATAAGTATTACCATGGGTAAGCATCATCAACATACTGAAATACATCTGAAAGCACATCTGTACTGAAAAAAATTTTAAAATGCATCTGTCAGCATATGCACAATTCAAAAAATAACATCTACCTTCAAAATCTTAGGTTTTTAAAATAAAATCATGCTCTAGTAGTTTGAAATTAAACTTAATTGTGAACACTTACAGGTAAATGAGTAAAAACTTGAAACGTGCTTCTCAAGAAGTTAATAAGGTCCATTAAGTATCCACTGGCTCTTCCATCTGATTCAGACATTGTCCAATCATAATCAGCAATCTGAATAAATTCATCTATTTTTTGGTTAAGTTTTGTGTATATTTCTCCTTCTGCAGCATGCCTCGCATCCTGAAAAAAACCCGTACATAACTGTCAGATTTCTAAAATATTATTAGAATGCAGATCGAATTATTTTCACCAATAAAACTGAAGTCTTATGTTTTTCTTAGATTCAAAAAATATTTTATTTAAATAAATATTTTAACTTCTGTCTTACAGGAAGTCTGAGGCAGTGGTTTTTAAAAAACTCCCATAATGTATACTACAAGAGTGTTTATAACAGAATATGCCTACAGAATAATTTAAGTTCTCAGACACAAATGAAATTAATTTGAATTTGAAAACAAAGCAGTTGCTTTACTCTTCTCACTACAACCACCTGTAATTCAGCCTTATAAATTTATCAACTCTGACACAAAGTTTATTTGCCCTCTTTTACAAAGAAAATAATAAAAGAATCTAATTACTTTATCTGTTATGCCTAGAGGTCCAGCAGTCGTATGATTTTTATGTAAATAATGTCTTAAAACTGTACATCTGAAGAATACTCATAATTTTTCATCCTCCTTGAAACATACTGATCACCACCCACTGTGATTCGGAGCACTCCCATACTTCATCCCACCCCTACTTTTTCTTCTGCCACCACCTGGATTCTACTTTTTGGAACAGTAAAGAGGTAAAGCCTAACCTTTACTGTGAAGTGAGTTTACGATGCTATCTGCCTTGTTTCTTTCGGGACAACATCAGAGATGCAATGGGATCTACATACAGATGCTTGATAAGGTGTATTTTGCTGGAAAGGCATGCTTTTGCCAGCCTTCAATTTAAAGATACTCGGTAAATCCTATGTTCTAATTTGGGCTTAACATGAAACTTTCTTCACTGATCTTGAGAAATAATTCAAGTAAGAGATTTGATTTCAAGTGAACTAGTCAGTTGCTGAAGGTTTTTAGAGAGCAAAAATAGGCTGGATATAGTGGAGCAACATAGAAGTGTACAAAATACCCATCACTAGTTTCCTTTGGCAGAAAGCAGTCCAAAAACATGGCACTTCAGAAAGGTGCAAATAAGAAAGACAAAAAGAAAAAAAAAATCAAAACAACCTAAGTTTAAAGGTGGCACCACATCAAGTGTGTCAAATTCAGTCTTCAGTCAGGCCCCAGGCCCTGAGACACCTCAGGAGGAAGCAAGAAAGCATGTGACCCTACTATTAAAGTCAAATCTATATTTAAAGTTTCTAATTAATTATAAGCTCTCAGTTTCAACAATCTATAATGACAAGACTTGTAAATATATCTGCTTAGGGTTGGTGCAATTGCTTGGATTGTTTGTTTGTCTGGCTTTGGGTTGTTTTTTTTTTGTTTGAGAACGAAGGCATTTACAGAGTGGCTGTATCATCTTCACCAGTTAAGATGATTTACTGGCAATGACAAAAACTTCAGTTTTTGTTCTGGAAGGCTCTTTTTGGATATATTTTATTTTGCTTTGGTTATTGGTTTACAACTGGAGCAGCGTGCTGCCAGTACTTTCAGCAAAGTGTGTTACTCTATTCCCTGAGAAAACTGTGAACAGCCGAGCAACTGGATTTCAAACCCAGAAGTTCTTTCTGAGAAGCAGCACTGCAAATCCCATGCCAAAGTCAAGAAAGAGCGAGTTCACAGTACTCAGATTTGGTATGACTCCTAGAGGCAAATGAATTAACTCCATCTCCTCTTTTAACATGGTGACAGAATTGCATCAAAACCTTTTGAAAGCTCACCAGATTTTGCTCCGTTCTAAAGCGAATAGGGAAAATGATGTGGTTTTATTAAATGGCTTTTCTCTCAGAGTATGTCCTGAAGACCTGCACAGAATTTGACGCTGTGCATCTGGCTCTCCAACAGCCATTATGCAGCTTAATGCTGAGACCATGGGCTCAAAAACTTCTGCCAACTAGATGTGCAAATTCATCTATTTATGCTTTGTGTGAATGCTGATTTAAACACAGGAAAACAATGGTTATCCAAAGTTGGAAAAAGTGGCTATAAATACTGAAAGCGACACAATTTTTTGATACGATAAAATGAAACATGTTTTGGCGATTTTTTTTTTTAATTTCCATCCATGTGAAACAATGCTTGAAGAGTCTGAAGGACATCTTAAAATGAGATCTTACATATAAAAGGAGAAAAACAGCCCTCTAAAATAGTAGCCATGAAATAGGTCTGAAGGCTTCTATTAAAAAAATTCAGTGCAGATGTACTCATAGGATCATCTCATGGAATGCAAATGTGATCAATGCTGCTAATAAAAGGAGATTTTTGACCACTCATAAAGAATGGAGGTGGCATGATTTGCCACCAGGAGATGAATTTAATAACCGTAGAACATACCAAACTCTGTGAGGGCCCAGTTGGGGAACTGCAAGCAGTTTTTCATTAAAATGGAGAGGGGGGGAAAAAAAGCGGGATTAACAAGAAAAGAATTTTCTACTATAAGTGGAGAATGTTGTACTAACAAGTTCTCCAGGGAAATAGACAGGAGAGAAACCATAAAAAAAAAAATCTTACATGTTCATCAGCGTTCATTCTGTATTTTTCCAAAGTGCATAGGTACTAAGCTCAGTAAAGACAGACATAATATTCTGTGATTCCCTCCACTAGAACTTAAGTAGTTTAGAGGACAGTTAAATATGACTTACAGCATAAGCAATCAGCACAAAATATAACACCCTTTCAACTGCATTTATTAAATTCAGGGATAAAGAACATCTTACCTCTTAATGAAATGAAAGACTATGGCTGCATGCAGTATTTTGTTTGAACATTAAAAAGATTATGGATTGACCTTACAAGAAAATATCTACAGATACGCAAATTCAAAGACACACATGCACTATCAGTACACAACAAGCAAACTAAGCAGCCTAGACCTTAAGGACAGGGCAAAATTCGTAAAGCTAATGCTAGGGCAATGGTAACCTAACTACAGTTGCTAGGCCACAACCCTTCTGTCTTGCATTCTTCATCAAATCCTTAGCAAAAAAACCCGACAGTTAATGGGAAAATTGTTGGCAATCTACTGGAAATATGAAGTGTCTTGCAACGATGATGTCTTATTCCACCTCACCCACCTTTTAACATCTATACCAGAAGGGCTATTGTAATAGGATAGGCTACGTATTGCATCAAGAGTAAAAAAGGAAGCACAGAAAACAGAACCACTCTCAATAGAGTTAGTCCTCTTTGTCCCACAAATACAAGAAATCACCCTCCTTTGTTTCAGTGTACACTTAAAAAGCCCCAAATACCTAAAGTTCAAGTGGCAGCTGCTTTGGAATCCCTGATGACTTTCTGGTTTGATTTCTTTCTCTTTCAAAAATTTCTGTACAGAAGCCTCAAGTGATTAAGGTGGCAACACACTGCCTGAATTAATGGCACAAGGTAACCTATGCAAAATTATTATTCTGTCAGAATGTTTTATTCAGAAAGAAAACCCCAAACCACCCTCCAAGCACACACATTTGCTTCTATTCTAAACCAAAAACCTACTCAGCCAGACTTGGTCAATGAAATACTTTCTGCCATCCATTATGTACACGAATACCAAAACTTGGTTCTTCAATGTACGCAACCATCTGGTGCTCGAAAGAAGTACCTGTTGCTCAACCATCACCAGTGCATGAAGGATCTCTAAGGCACAGCGCAAGAGGGTTTCTGGTGTAAGGCTATTCAGTGGCCTGAGACCAAACCATCTTTGCACTCAGCACAGCTGAGTCCAGCTGCTGGGATCTTGTTTTAGCGCTTACTGGCATCTTTACCACATAAAACAGCCTGAGCAAGGATCAGGATTTCGACTAGTTTATCTTAGGGATAAATCTCAGTCATCTCCAGTTACCTGACATTACGCGTATAAGTTGTCTCCATCAATTTCACTTTTACGTGTAGATTTCTCATTAACAACACAGGTGTCTGCCTTGCATCTGAAAAATGACTAAGGCCTTTTGAGTAATCTTGTGGAGAGGGACTTCACAGATGAGGGTATGGGGTTTGTTCTGCCAAGGACATCAGATGTGACTATACAAGTCACTTGGTATTTTTGCTTTAGTTTCCTCTTTTCAAAATTCTTCAGAATTTCCGTATAGACAAATGCAAGAACAACTAGGAGAACTTCACATACTAATGAGATGAGGAGCCATACATAGAAAGAAAACTGAAACGTTGCCATGCTAACTGTTGAAATTACAATTGTTTATGCTGAATATGCATCACCTATGATTTACTTTAGCTTTTTGAGATGTAAGCTTAAGTACTTCTGCCATTTCTGAAAAATGTCAGAGAAAATACAGCTTGTGCAGATAAGCAGTTGCCATACACTAGAAACAGTTGAGTTCCCAGTGATCATTTTCAAAAGTATTATTGTGTATATAAAGGACATGTAAATAAAATACGAATTCTAAAAAGATAATTGAGTAATTTATACTTTGTAGCACACTCCTAATACTGCATTTATATTACTAAGTTACACAATTTGAAAATATACCACAAAATATTTCTATGGTAGAATAAAAACAAATAAATAATACAAACATTTTAGATTAAACTAGCTGTTTTGTTTGATCCCATTCAGAAAGGGAGATGTTACATGAA